TGAAGTCCTTGGTGGTTGAGACTTTTAGGAATGTTTATTTTTGTTTATTTTATAAAACAAGAGCAACATTTTTAATCAAAAATATTGATTTTCTTAAAATACCAACAATATATGACTTCTAATGACATTGGTAGCCCTTAGGACACGAAAAAGTTGCACTTCTGGACATATTATATCCGTGGCATGGAAAAGATCTAATACCAGGTGTCCAAAAAGGGTATTGAGTTTTTTTTAATGTTTACGCAAACACTACACATTCAAATGAAACTAGTTTATAGGGATTTTATCACATATAATAATAATAAATTCTTTATTTCAGATAATTAAAATCCATATGTGGGTTAGTAACACAATAATAATAACAACAATTATAATAACAAGGGTTAGTTACAGTGGTAGTACAATGGTTTGCTTAAAATCTAGAGAAATAAAATAAATACATTGTGCCAAGACAAATCATCATGGAGGTGGATATGGCCCAGTTATCAGTCTCTGCACAAGACAATTCCATAGCGGCGATGTATATCTGTCCGTTACGGTCCTCAGAATGCTGTTGTGACTGGCTCGTACCCTGCTAATAAGGGATGTGGTTTTTTTTGCGTGTGATGGCATTAAAACCGTCTGTTTGGTATGCCGCAAACATCCCTGAGCCACTACAAAAACTGTATACCGCACACACAAAAATATTTTCACAGAAAAAAATAGCAGTTTTAGGCTGCTGTATTTCGTATGGTGAAAATAGAGAACCGTAGAGCATTTTCACTGGCAACTAGGCATTCCAATTTAGCCCTCGGGGGTGACAACGCATCTGAATTTTGATTCTTAATGGAGGATAAGTGTAGATGTCTCTGGACCACTGCATCCACTTACCATAAGGTGGACTGTATGCTTGTTTGGCACCCTTCTATAAAAATATTAACTTGATCTGCATACATCAAACCAAAAATTAATAATTTTAAACTGAACTTAGCCATGGTTAACTATGACATTGGTATGTTGAGCACTCAGTTCCCTTGTGACCGTAGTTTTATTTAAAGGGTATTTGATAGTTGAATAAATTAAAAATATAAATAATCAAATAGGTTGTTTATGTTTAACTACAGACACTGAATTGATTGAAAATTATATAGAAAAAATGATGTTGTATCTTGGAACCTCAATAGAGTAGCAATAAATTGTACCCAAGTATGACTCCATTTCTACTGAATCTGTACAAAGTAGTGTGTGACACTATCCTTACCCCGAGATCCCGCACTGCCCCTTTATAACGTCAACAAAAAAAAACCCTGTTAGGGTCACCCAATACTTATTTTGATGTGATAATAAAATTGCAACAACTTCCAAATGCATATCAGTAAGTATTACCAGGCCTCCGTCACTCGCTCAAGGCCCTGCGTTATATGCCTAACGTTATGCGTATCGCCCACGATACAACCGACATTGGGCTGCCGCACGCACGCCTGAGCGCTTGCACCACGCACGTTTCCCGCGCTTACTCGTCGAAATGCCGAAATCACGTAATTATTTTGCAGTGGATGGGTGTCAGCATGAAGCAAATACAAAGAGGAGACGTTGTAATTAAATTTCACTATGTAACAACGCGTGACAATTTGCGGGGTGAGGGGATGCAAAGCCCCGCCCACTACACTATCTACATCTACCGATAAATAGTAAAACTACTCGAATCTTTCCATATCGATGTTGCAATGTAGCTTAGCTACCTTGACGGTAGATGGCGGAATGTCCACAAAATGTTATAAACTTTAAAAATAACACTTTGGCGATTAAAATTTCTTTATGTCTGAATGCAAAGAAATTTCAGCACCTTCGTATGATTATTTTATCATTACTGAGCTCTACGTACCATTATATTTTTAGTTCACAGGACACAAAGTGTCGCCATCTAGTGTGGAATATATTTAATTATATTTGAAAGCCGACGCAAAGAGATTTTTCTAGAACTATTTTAATAAATTAGGTGTAAAATTACTTACAAATGAAATGTGATGCCATCCATAGCATCGGAGCGTCTATCTCATGATGCAAATACATTCAGACAAAGAAATTTTAATCGCCAATATAATATTTTCGTAGTTTTCATAATAATCTTGGGAACAGGCCGCCATCTATCGTCAAGTAAACCTCATAAAAATAACAAAAAGACAGGGCCGCCATTAGAATTCAATTATTTTACCCAGTAACCCAACATTCAATATTAAAATGAAGGAAATTGTAATTGGCTGATTTTTACGAAATGTTTAAGTTATATTTAAGTGACATTCTATATGCAAAGAATCACTTAAATACAATTTAAATATGTTTATCATTTCGTGAAAGTCAACGAAGAAATATTTATTTTATCCATAAAATAAAGTCTCTTTGAAACTAAATATTCTGTTCAATATTAAGTAGGATATTTAATTTGGAACTAAATATCCTACTTATCTCACTAATATTATAAAGGCGAAATTTTGTGTGCTCTTTCTGTCTACTTGAGCTTATTCCACACTAAGTATGTGTAATTTCTTCACGCAGAAACGGCTGGATTATTATTTATGTGTGGGTTATACTACTTAATATCTCTGAGGGAGAACAAATAATAGACAAATTATTATAATTAATATAATTATATTTACAAATATTACAAAGAACATTAAATTGTATTTAAGTGATTTTTTGCATATAGAATGGCACTTAAATAACTTAAACATTTCGTAAAAATCAGCCTAAGTACAATTTCCTGCATTTAATATTAAAAGTTGGATTACTGGGAAAAATAATTGAATTCTAATTAGGGCCCTGTCTTTTTGTCATTTTTATGAGGTTTACTTGACGAGAATACGGCCTGTTCTCAAAATGATTATAAACTATAAAAATGATATTTTGCGATTAAAATTTCTTTATGTCTGAATGCAAAACAAATTTCAGCACCTTCGTATGATTATTTTACCAATACTGAGCTCTACCATTACATTTTTAGTTCACATGACACAAAGTGTCGCCATCTAGTGTCAAATATATTTAATTATATTTGAAAGCCGACGCAAAGAGATTTTTCTAGAACTATTTTAATAAATTAGGTGTAAAAATATTTACAAATGAAATGTGATGCCATCCATAACATCAGAGCGTCTATCTGAGTAGTTTTTACACAATAAAATACAACACTTCATCCTTTTCTTCTTAATACTACGAAAATACACCGATTTGCGATTTTTTCAACACATAAGCGCACAGGACGAATGCTGACAGTATACTAACTAAAGCCACGCCCACTATGATGACGTCAGGACCTACTTAGAATCACAGTGCACAGTTGCTTATGCCGTCTCCCCTTTGTATTAGCTTCATGGGTGTCAGAGTCAAAAAATCATTCTTAAATAATTTTGACAACGCCATAATGAATCGGCCTGGCAGCAGCGTGTTACACATTTTACAAACCATTGATTTTCCTCCGCTTTGCTCCTGTTTTCCTAATGATTATTTATTAAAATTATTTACGCGATTTTGGATATTTTCAACGATAAGATTTAATAACGAAGGAAAAAAAAATGTATAAATCATTTTATAAGCTCAAACATATTTGATTGACAAATAATAATATGGTTATTTCGCAAGATTCGTTTTATTACAATAATCATCATAGGTACAACCCTAGCGCATTCGTGCGATGACGCGCTTGCACGTGAGTCGCACGGGGGTCAACACAACCTCGACTCTTTAAGCGCGTGCTTATGGTACATTTTCGTCTCGCTGCAAACAGCAGATATTATTATTAAAAGTTTGTAGGCTATTATAGCGTAGGTATTTTCGCTTTTGTATGGGAGTGATGTATCTGTTTACTTTAGTAAACTATTTAGTAATCTGTGGTATTACTTAGTGTCTTTAATTTAAATGTATGTATCCAATGTTTGGCTTATACAATACATATTGGGTCTTTACAGTCTTAATTATTTTGACTAATTAGTTCTAACTATAGTATGTTTCTAGGGCAGGCGGAATGCCAAGTGCTAAGTTCTTCGCAGGTCCTGTGTCTATTATTATATTATGAAGAAAGAAGAGTATCCTGTACTTATATGAATTAAAAAGGAAATTAACATTAATTTAAATTTATTATTCATAAATCATAGGAGTTATTACAAATTTCATTATTACGTTAATAGTAGGTAAGTAGTTTAATAAGTAGATAGATAGGTAGGTAGTTAGATAGTACAAAGCATAACTACTTCTTGGCAGTCAGGTAATAAGGCGAACTTTTAATGCTAACTATTCTTTGGCAGTACTGGTAATAATAAAACTATACTGATAATAAAACTATATAGGATATACGTCACTAGACTACGTTTCTTTTACGTATTTATAGACGTTTACAATAACTCTTTTTTCGGTTTCCGAAATATGTGACACTTTCCGCTTCTTTCGTGGTGACGTAAAATCTTTATAAGATTTTGATGTCGATGGACTTGATTACATACAGGTGATAATATACAAAACGTCACAAAACAATAACAAAAACTTTAATATAAAACGGAACAATACAACAAACAAAACAAACTTAATAAAAATGAAAACAAGAACTATAACCGAAAATTTTAAATCTCAAATTATTATGAGTCCTGCTCCACCCGCTCTCGCAAATACGCACGAAGTGAGACCGCAAACCGTGTCGAAACAGGTTTGTTATCTCTGAATGACCGCTTCCTTCACCCCACCCCGTACCATGAGACACGCTTAGCGCAAAACGATACATAATCGATAATGGAGGCATGGAGGCAATACCTGTCGTTTTGTTTCGATGCTAACATAATACTTTAGGTCAATGTACGTTTTTCCACCTGCCCTAGAAACATACTATAGTATTTAAACCCAAAATCTGCAATACAGAGTACAGACGCCAAATCGTCAGACCATGTGATATTATATTGAACAGATTGACTTTACTAGGACAATTTACAATTGATTCATACAACATAAATAACTTTTACCTATATACTATTTACCTTTTCTAATTGCCTCACAGCATAATGTGTAGCATTTGGTTTGACAGCACTGAACTTTGGCCATCCAACAAAATTTCTCGCCCAATATCTTTGTCTTACTCTTGGATATTTTATAAACTCTTGATATTGAACAGGTTTATGGTTACTTCTTGCATACAATCCAACTTCTTCAGACCTGTAGTCAGGTATTCCTAAAAAATTAAGAAAAATAATCACCATAATAATTTATCTGTCTGATAAACAATGTAATAGTTAAAGTTATTCTATTTCATGATGAAGTTTTGACTTTGGTTTTGTTTGCCGTGCACATACACATTGCGCTAGTGTGTGTAGGCCTCGGGAGCACTAACAACAACCAAAGTCAAAACTTCATCATGACAGAATAACTATAACAATCTAAATGTTATATGACTCATGGGACAGTAAAATGGTTAAATAAACTAAGCTAATGGGTATGACATGATTTAGTATCGAATTCTATCTTTTTTTCTTATTCGTATGAGCAAGTATGTATGTTTGCACAGGTCAAAATCTACACAATCTATCATAAGATGGAAGATGCTGCTGCCCATCTCCTAGTTTGTTTCCCTAGTCACCTCTTATAACACTCACAAGATAAAATGAGGTAGTAGATATTCTTGAAATTGAGCCTATTATAAATAAATCAAAATTTGAGTGGTGCTATAGTCCTATCAGCATTTCCCTAGTTGCTATAGTCAAGTGGAATGTCGGTATACTGAAGTGCTGAAGTGTTGAAAATATATAAATCAAAAATTATATTTTTTTTATTAATAAATTCCAATTGTTCCAAACCCTGGTTCCAACAGAGAGAAAATCATACTTATTTTGATTGTAGTTGACTGCACTGGTTTATGATAAGTAAAAAATAGAATTTTAATACACATTATTTTTTAATATATGCAATGTTATTCCCATGGTGTTAATTTCAGTTTTACTGTGGTGATTTATAAACATAAAATGCACAAAGCCAGGCATGTAGTTATTATTTGTAGGCTTTTCAAATGCTTGTTTCAAGGGAGAATCAAAACCGCGACTTTTAGTGCCGCTACGAAATCCTTAGCCATTGCACTATTGAGCTGTCAAATTCATTTTTGTATTTTATTACCTAATTATTTAATTTTATATTTCCTTCTATTTTTATGAAATTATCACAACTTTTACTGTCTCAGACTTAATATGATACATTTTTATTTATCCATTAACTAATCTAAAAAGAACCATCATCATCATTACAACGCTTCACAACGTCTACATAGGACATAGACCACAATGCATGGTCCCAAGACACCTTCATCCATCATCCAAATCTCAAGAACAATAACTGTAAAATATTAGTTCTCATGGTTTTTTTATTGCTCAGACATGCACATTTTAAAATCAATACAAACAAACTTATCCAACTATAATATTTTGGTTGGCTTAAGAGATCGATGTAATATGGAAAAAATATTATTATACTATTACCAGATTCTGTAGATATTCCTGCACCAGTGAGTATTAAAATATTTTGATGTCGAGTAATAAAATCTTTAATCGCTTTAAAGTCTTTTTCATCGGGTGGCTTAAATGACGGTACGAAGGCTATATGCCTTATTGGAAATTCATACAACGCCATACGTTTAAACATAACTTTAGTGTTGGTTTTTAAAATAAATATATATAGGATCATGTAACGATTTAAATCAAACCTTCCTTATATATTACTATACTCTTTGAATCTGTTTGAATCAAACTTACAATTAGTTAGCTTGCTACATATATATTTATCTATGCTTACAATATTATTTTTGTTGTACTTGTAATCATAGATAAATATATATGTAGTAGGCGTGTGTATCTCTTTACGGAAACGACTCACTGATACGAATCACTGAAGTGACACAAAAGATTGGTTCAGTAACAACGTTTCAAATGTATCATTTGTATCTGGAACAGTGAAACATTACTTTGCTCTTTGCTCATTTCGCGCGACGCGTCGCTTGCGAGGCGACTGAGCCACGAGCGAGAGAGAGAGACTGAGACAATGATTAACTTAACTATTGAGTCACGAGTGGCGAGTGAGCGGGCGAAATAATTATAATTCACACAAGTCAGATAGAGATAACAAATAAGAAGTGTATCACTCAACTCGTACGGATTTTCGCTGACGTTATTCATGCAAGTAAAAATTATCAATAAGGCGCTTATGTGTCAAATACTATACGGTCGTTTTTTGTATGTAACTATGTATATGTCATTTTACGTTGATGCGGCACTTGTCAAATTGTTTATATTCATTAGCGCCTGTTTACGAAAACATACTGAGTTATGTTTAGGATTTATTTGAGTAGTGATTATTTGACTTTACTTTCTTCCTTTTCATCATAAAGTTTAGAGTTATGATACTTTACGAGTAAATTCTGTGTACATAGACATTGCTGTTTTGTGTAAATGGACATTTTTGTAAATAATGAATTGACATAGTGACATTTTTGTTAAAGTATGAAGGAGAATCGATTTTATATACAATCTTATTACGGTACACAATAAATAATCTAAGCACTTATATTATTCAGCATTTTTGCAACATAACATTTCACGGATCAGTCAATAATAAACGCCCGCGACGAAACTTAATGTATTCGGAACATTCTTTCTTTTATATCTTTTGGAGTCGATGATACAAATGAGCCAAATGAAACATATCAGTGTTTCGGAACATTCCAGTGATCAAGATGCAAATGTTCCAATCCCAAAAATGATACACTTTGCCCACCTCCAATATGTAGCAAGCTACAGATACGACAGTGACTTTTAGTCAAGTTTCCCAACTATGCCTTTTGGCGCTGCAGTCGCCCAGTTTGACAGATGAGTGATAAAATAAAAAAAAATATAGCTTAGGGATTGCAAGCACTCATCCTTCAAATCATCGATATCGATATTTAGCGATGTTCTTATTTTATCGATATCAACGTAACGACGCATTATATAGTTATATTAAAATATTACTTAATGAAACAATTTTGGTACATAAACATTTATTTTTTATTCAAGCACACCAATATCATATACATACACACGTAATCTTAGGATTAAATTAAAAGTACATTGGGTTATATTAAAAATGTACATAACATTGTATATAGGCAGAATTTGACGAAAACAGAGCAATATTTATTGTTCATTAGATAAAGCAAATAGCAAATTAAAGAAATTAAACCACAGGAATCATATTTAATCATAGTGTAAGTAATATTTTACTTTACAAGTTACTTTTTATATTAATTTTAAAACAGCTACAATTCAAATGGTTATGAATTAAAAGAGTACCTTCCCTGTATAAGATAAAGAACTTTTCGCTAGGGTATGCCAAATTATTATTTGATCTATATAACATTTGTTTGTTAGGCAAGACAAACATTTTTTCTAAGTTTGTAGTGTTTGGAGCTTTGTTTCATTAGTAGACATCCTATTAATTTTTCATTTAGGGTAAACCTGGCCATTTTTTAAATTGTTTTAATTACATTAATAATAAAGTTATTTGCTTAACATTCAACTTTTCTATATTTTGACAGAGATTGGACAATAAGCAAGCTTTTGTGAGGCTTAGTCACCTAAAGATTCAGTTACAAAATTTCAATATTTTATTATTGCCAATTTTATATACCAATTGTGCCCTTGTAACCTTATTAATATATTGATGAAAGTTTTTTTACAATGAAAGTATGCTTATTATATCCTAGCCAGGAAAAACTCAAAGTGCTCAATATTTTACTTTTAACATTACTTCTGATACAGCTATAATTCAAATACTTATGAATAAAGTGAGTATCATCCCTGTACAAGTTAAGTAGTTTTTCGGTAGGGTATGTTATTTTTCAACAATTTATGCTCTAGATTTTATGTAAGAGTGAATATTTGTCTCTGTACTGCTGTTTTGATGCAATCCTTACAAGGAATACCTTTCGATATTTTCCGACAAATGTATCCAGCAGTATAAGCTGAGCAGTGGTATTCAATTTTTTTCCATGACTACATCACCCACAAGCAATTTTTCTCTTGAAGTTGCTTGTGAAGAGGACAGTAGAGCTAGCAAAACATTAGGAGTGTTTTCAGAGTAATTTTCTTTATTATTATGAACATTTTTGAAAAGACCGCTAACATTTAATAATGTGTCTCCATAATCCTCTTCGCAATTAGAGAATTTTAAATGTGGACTAACCATGTTAGATAATATCAGATATTTAAAGGCATATATAAATATGTTTGCATCTAGGTCAACATTTCTATAATCTATAACTATTATACATTCAAAAATAAATTTCTAAAGGGTCTTGGCTAATATTTTTGTGATAATAATATTCTACATTATACTGTTCAAATAATAATTATCAACAAGTTTACAGTAACAAGTTATCCTTCCTTGTTGGGATGGCCCTCGCACAAGTCGAGGTTTTCCTACTTGGATAGCATGTTTGCTACTATATAGCATGGTGTCTACAAAAATCATTTTTTTTAATTTTGTTAATGGCTTCAATCCAAAAAGTGTGATGTTGTAAATTTTGTTTAACCACTTGTCTTAACTTTCCTCTTTGCACATCAACCGGGTAGCCATTGACATTGTCAGTGTGTCGAAAAATTCAACAACTTCTGCTGTTGAGGCCATTGTTGCGTCAGAGTTTGCATAATGAAAATAATCTGAAAAAAAAAATATTTTTAATTTAATTACTTTTACAGCTATTGCACCTGCAAGTATTTCACCAAAAGACATTTCCTATTTGCTTACAACAGACTTTGTTAACCTTTATACAATTGTAGTGTGGCTCACGGTATCCACTAATGTAATATCAATTATAAATTTAATGTAGTAATAAACAGCACTTGGCAGATACAGGTTGTCTCATTTAATAACGTCATTACATGGCGACCTTGAGAGGCGAGCTGGCCACCGATAGTAATAAACTCATAATAAATATAAGACCTAATAAATACACACATTACCAAAATGAGGAAAATATTACATAGTGCCATAAAAAGTTTTGGGAACAAGTTGTAAATAAATATTTATAAAATAAAGTAAAAAATATAAAATAATGAGGCAAAGAGACAGCTAAGAAGACTTGAGACGAGAAAAGAGGATTCCTTTTTAATAGGATAAGGGTGACAAACGAGCACACAGTCCACCTGATGGAAGGTGGTTGCTGTGGCCCATAGACATTTATATCTATCCTTGATTACTAATCAAAATGCAGATGCGTTGTCACCCGTGAGGACTAAAATGGAATGCCTCATTTCCAGTAAAAAGGGTCTCCTGTTCTAGAACACACAACACCCACCATACGAAACAACAGCATTAAGCTGCTATTTTACGCTGGTATTCTGTGAAAGCGTGGTCCATTGGTTTAGTTGTAGCACGAACCATTCGTGCTACAACTAAACCACTAATATAGCTGCAGCATGGCTCTACCGCTTAAAAAATTGATGACAGAGATTACTTTTTTTTACTCAGGTTAACTTTCAAAAAGAAGATGACAGGCATCATCATAAACTCTCACAAATTTTAAGTGATATAAACAAAAGTTGTACTTTAACCTTTACTTTTCTTATTCGTCTTTGCCTTCTATCATTATCTCTGTCTACGTCTATAATGTGTGGTACTTATATATTACTTTCACAAACATGTATATTGTATTTCTTTACCTGACTTGTTTTGTGTGGTGTACAGTTTAGCTTAGTATCTACTTAACTATCTATTATATTGATAGGTTTAAGCGGATGGCATCCTTGAATTCCTTAGTATATTTATAGAGTTAATTTTAGCACTAACAAAGTTTGATTGTTACAGTGCCATTTGTTAATTTAAGGGAAACCTGTTATTGGCAATACTACATTACACATAGTTATAAGATATACAATTTGTAAGGCTGTTGGTTTTCTTAATAAAATAAATAAATAAATAAAAAGAATATTGGTTGAGAAGATATAAATTGAAGTACACAGTGGTATTCACATAGGGAATTTTAACATTATCAAACCAACCGTGGAGTAAAACAAATAAGAACACAATTATAAATTATGTTTCTAAAAAATTCTCGAGAATTTAATCAAGTGATCAGTTTTAGGAGAACTGAATTTTTGTGTTTTATCTATAAGAAAACAGGGAAAATGTTAATTTCAATCTTTTACCATTACTCATTTTTTAGATGGAAAACTATTAACACAAAGGAAGTGCTACTTGTATATTCATATCCTTATTATTTAAGCTTCATTATTTTGATATCAATGTGTAATGAAAAGTAAATTATGTGATTTATTACATAATATTTTTTTAAGGTCGAAGATTATTTTATAGTATATTTTAAGTGGCTTAGAATATTCCATAAAGAAATACAATTTTGTTTCTAAAATTTGTAAACCATTTCACATTTTGAATAACTCCCAGATCTAGGTACAATTTAAATTAGAAAAGTTAAGTTCCATCTGTATAGGATTTCTCTGTACAAAACATTAATTTGATATAGTAATTAATTGTAATTCTATACCTGGTTTACCTAGTATTAGCAAAGATATTAGTAAAAAAAATGTAATTTATACCATTTTTTTTTTCAAAATTTCCGATAGGTCTTTATTTCTTGACAGGCATTGGGC